GGGGGGGGCAGGAGACGGGGAAAGAGACGGAGAGGGGTAGAGAGGGTGAGGGGAGAGAGAGGCGGCATACAGGAAGAGAGTGAGAGAAGGGGGGTAGGGGAGAGGGAGGTAGAGACAGACAAACCGACGGCAGACATGTCGCGGGTCGTCAGGTACATACTCAAGAGGAACATGCGTGATTTGCCGGCAACACAAGGAACCAAGAGAGGCACTCGTTGTACAGAATAGGTGTTGCGTGTTGACGATGGAACCCATTTTGCTGGCTGAGAAGGGGGCTGGCACACGATTCGTTTTCAGGTGGCCTCAAACTGGAATGCACGCCACATTGCCACAATTCCTCAGAGTGCGACTACCAGGAAAGCGGTCTGACCAGGGACGTGCCGGGCGAATTGTTTCCCATTCTGGACCGGCGGTCCCTCCGGGATTTCTGTTAAAAAATCCGTCTCTTCACCCGCAAAACAAATAACCTACTAGCCTTACCCGGGACACCGGGCGCTATCGTCAGGTTTCGGTTCACACAACCCAAGTTTCGGTTGACACAAACCGTGGATTTCCGTTCTCACGGACTGCCGCTATGATGCGGCGCTATGTGTCTCTCACTAGTGTAATGTTTACGCGACAGTGCATATCTTCCGGGCGATTTTGCCCGGCCTTGTTTGTTGCGGCCTGCGTTGAGGACCTGTATGGCTGTGTCTTCTCCGCGGGAGGCTCAAAGGTATCTTCCCAGCTGTATTATGGGTTTCCGTTCCGGGGACGTTCCGCTTCCGTGCTGGCGATGTCGCTGGCGTTTCATGGGATGCTTTGAGAACCGGTATTTGTTGCTTTGTGCTCATGGGAACCTCGATGTATATCACGGTTACGTGAACCGAAACCACGGTTGTGTGAATCCATTGTCTCACCTCGGGGGGAAACTTGAGCTTCCCATGGTAATGTCCGCCCTCGTACGGGGACCCCTTTGTACCGGTGATGACGTAGTGCCACTCCAGGATATTGTTGTCCATCGGCGTCGCCTGCAGACAGAGACAGACGGAGACAAGATAGTCGAGCGGAGGGATAAAGCACCATACACAGGGAAGCGCCGAGAAAAAAAGTCCACCATGCAGCAGCAGCCGCCGTCTGTCGAAAAAACAAATACCATATAAAATTAGTGCAATCGTAGCGAGATAAAACTCGTGGCAAACACAAAATTGCACTCGTCTGTTGCAAAAAAACAATGTAGGCCCATAGTACAGTCGTGAAGAGAGCAAGATCTCTCGCAAAAATAAAAAATGGATGGATGGATGTTAGCGTTTGCAAAATACAATCGTCGAGGGGGGCAAGACCTAAAGCGGGCAAGGTCGAGATGAATCGTGGTGGAGCTCAGACTGGTCCAAATGTGAAGACAACAAACACAACAACAACAACAACAACAACAACAACAACAACAACAAACTACAAATCAGCTTACAACGATATTGTCGATGGGGTTCCTCTTGATCGCCATCAGTTCCTTCCGCAGCCGCCTCGTTGCCATGTCCGAAGCCATGGTTCCTCCAAAGCGACCCCTGTCCTCTGCCGCAGATGCCCTCCGTCCCTGCCTTCACCGGGGGGAAAACAAACAAACATAGTAAGAAACCACGGCAGCCACACCCTACCCCACAAGCACGTTTGCCAATCGTAACCTAGGTTGAAGATGGCGATCGCTGGAGGCAGAGGGGGCTCACGCGCTCACGCACCAAGTGTGTAGCAACATCTCGGGGAGAAACCTAATCTGTTGCTCGCCAAGAGCACAGTACTGTACACCTCCACCAATGGGCGACGAGTCCCTCGTTCGAGAGATCGAGCACTCACCACTCGCGCTCCTCTTGGAGGTAACTGCAAACACCTGGCTGCTTTGTTAATGTTTGTCTCTGCCTCTGTCTGTCTGTCTGTCTGTCTGTCAGTCTGTCAGTCTGTCTGCCTCTGCCTCTGTCCCTGTCTTGTCTATGCCTCCATCTCTGTCTCTGTCTCCCTAGTTCTCTCCGTCTCTGTCTCTGTCTCGGTCTTTCTCTCCCTATCTGTATCCCTATCTGTCCCCGTCTCTCATTCTCTGCAAGGTGTTCATCGACGTCCCACAACACTGCGGAGTGTCTCACGAACGATAAGCTTCTAAGCACACCCTTGGAGAATGTTACCTTAGACTCTTCTCTACGGATAGAGATGGCTTTGTTGCGTCACATACTATGATACACTGGGAGGTGAGAGCTTCATACCCAAGAAAAATAGAACCTTGAGAAACTTCACCACAACAGCAGATTTTTCCAGCTTTGTCCCCTACTATAAAGGAGCGGTTGATTCACCCCACATAGAAAATAGCACGATATTATTGGGTTTTCGGGGCTTCGACAATTGATGTTACGGCACACAAAGCAACGCCACGGCACACGCTGATTGTTCTTGCAACTGGTGGGCGCGTTCTGTACTGCGTGTTTGAATATGCTACCGTCGCTGAAGCGGCGCGGAGCAGAGGGCGGGGCCAAGGGCAAGCCGTGCACATGGGATTGCGTCCGTGCTATCGCAGGAAAAGAGCGCCTGGCTCGAATCCCCCAAGTTCATGCAACCACTTGCTTGTCTCCACTCAGAACGGCGATAGACGTAACACCGCCGGTTTTGGCCGAAGTTGCATGCTACCCCCTTGTTTTCCGACCAACTAGGACAAAGCATGTGACTCGCCTATGCTACGTCATCTCACATGTACCGGCGTCGAATCCCCACCCACTAGCTGCTGCGCGGCATACGAGCGATGGTCTCACTGTACTTTCATGCCCTCACTTGCTTCGCGACCCGACTACTTCACTATTTCCAAGGCTGCTACACTTGCTGAGAAGATTGAACAACGTCAAAGTCCAACCCGGGATACACGCGGATACCATCGCAAAATGTGGACACCCTCTCATTGTCGAGAAGTTGGTGTGCCCCACGACCGGAGGGGAGGTTGTGAAAAAAGCGACCATTGGCTTGCGCGACGTGGAAGTTCTCCGCTCCGGGCGAGATCGTTTCCAAGACCCCCAAAACCCGTTTGCGGTGATGGCAAGCATCTTTGGTGCTTGTGGACCAGTTGAGGTCTCGGCCAAAAAAAGGGGGGGGGTGCGTGATGACTGGCACTGCTGCCATCTACCAAGGCATCTTATTTCCGACGGGGATGATGATGGTTATGGTTGTCGCCAGTAGGATCATACTTCTGCAGGATGACACGCCGTACATACCGCTGTAGGCTTTAGACCGCCCATGATAGACATGGGGATAGCAATCCTCTTTGGTTGTGGAGCAACGGAGGTCTCGGCCAATAGCGGGAGTCATGATGACTCGCGCTGCTGCTCCCAAGGTGGATAAGTTTCAACGAGGATGATGGCGGTTGTCACCAACAGAGGGTGGGATAACTTCCATGAAGGCGGGAACCCTGCCGTAGTACACAGTAGCTTCAGACCGCCCGTAATGTACATGGAGATGGCAAGCATATTTGGTGGCTGCGGAGACGTGGAGGTCTCTGCCTAAAAAGGGTGTGTGTGTGTGTGTGGCATGCTTCTATCTTCCAATACATACTTATTCCAACGGGGATTATGATGGTTTATGGTTGCCGCCAGTGGGACTCACTTTCATGCAGGAGGGCACCCTTCAGCAGTAGAGGCCTCAGGCCGCCCATAACAGACATCGAGATGGCGAGCATCTTTGCTTGTGGAGCAACGGAGGTCTCGGCCTAAAGGGGGGGTATGGTGATTCGCACTGCTGCCTTCCAAGTCATCTTCATACCAACGGCAATGATGACTGCTGTTACCACCGGCGGGGTGGCGTCATTTTCATGCAGGCGCGGGTGCCGTACACAACGCAAGATAACACACCCCCTGGACCCACTTTCAAAGCTCGATTACTCCAAGACCAAGCGGATGCATACATACACGAAACGATACGTTTTCGGTGCCTCGACGCTTTCTGGTGTTGACAAATGGAGCGTTGAAAGTCGGGCCAGGGGGTGTGTTGTCTTGTGTCGTGAAGTTACGGCATGCTATTTGCGCCGTCGGTCGAGTCGAGGCATTACCTACCCACCCTTCAATCAACTGACTATCTTATACTTGCGACAAGGCTGGAACGGAGCGCACACGAGCCTCGTTCCATCAGGCTGGTGCTGCGCCAAGCGCAAAACAAAGCGTGAGGCAGTGAGGTGTATTCTGCAAGATGCAACGGAGAGAAAGAAGACGGGGGATGGGTGCCTCCACGTCTTGTATGCAAGGAAGGTGTGGCGTTGTACATATGCCCACACATCTCGAGGGCGTTTTTTTCGTTGCTCTGGGATCTAATCGATCGTGCGTGCGGGAGCGGAGCAACACGTTGCAGCGTTTACGGCGCGTGTCTATGTCGTTGGAGGTGTGAGGAGAGCAACGTATGAGCGCGTACTGCTGTAAGTTCGATTTGCGAATGATGAAAAAAGACGGCGGCGCATTCACTGCCCCCACAGAGGCGTTCCACAGCAGTCTTGCACACACGTTGTAGAGAGGGGGTGGCACAACCGACATACCATCATAGCTCTTTGCCTCTGGATAGAGGCACCTACACTGCACTTCCCCCGCTAGGCTAGTGGAGGTGGGTGACCAGTAGCCACGGCAGCGACGCCGCCTAAGGAGCGGAGAGATGACCGCCCTCTCCACACTCAAGCCGGACAGCAAACATGGAAGCTCGGTCTTACATGGCAACAACAAAAGCACCAGGATCTCTCACCTTTCGAGTCAGCCCGGCAGGAGCAAGCCCTTTTCCACCCTCCCTTCCTCAGTCACGGCTCCCTGATTATCTCTGGCTACCCCTAAGGAGGTCCTGTCTGTCCAACCCAGCAGGTTTTATCGTTCGCTCGCGCCAAGCTCCTGGCTCCCTGGGCGCTGGGGATCTTAACGTAGAATTCAGGGTACCCGCAACAGGTTTTATTCTGCGAGCCCCCTTCAGGCGAAAGTTGATTCCGCCGCACCCACCGTTCTGTCTGTGTACCGCACGCCAGGGCGCACGGAAGCGAGGTGAGGCCACCGATTGGCACTCCGGGAGGCATTTAATTCCCTTTGGTTAGAGTCGCTCGTGCTCGGGGGAAAGAGACAGGGAGAGAGAGCGTTGCATAGAATCGGCGTTCGCAGCTCAAATTTCTGTGATGTTTGAAACAGCAGATGCAATGCGTCGTATCACACGATAGTCCGCAATGGCAGAAGGAGCCGAGTCACTAGCTGCTGTGTGCACTTCCAAGTACGGATGCCAGCCCACCAACATCGCCCCTCCGCACTGGCGGTTGATTGCTGTCTGACATGGCTGTGACGACCCCATCGCTTGCACACTCCCACCCCACCCTTCACGCGCAGCAGCAATAGGTAAGATGCATGTTCTTCGAAGCAATGGTTGTTGGATGGATGCTGCGATGCTGCGCATGTTCTTACTTCACAAAACTCCGACTACAGTACTCCGCACTGGGTAGCAGCATAGCCCGTAGCCACCTACAGCAGTACCAACAGACGACACACGCAACCAGTACCATCGACGGCAGCAGGACCGAACAATATTCAGTCGACAACAAGGTGTTTCTTCATGGCAAAAACTAAGTTGTCTGTAGCAGCAGTACATGTGTGCATACTGGATCGCCTCTGTGTTGCAACGGGCGCAGAGGCACGAAGTAACCTCAACATCGGGCAGTGTGTCGAGCGACAGCCACCCTTAAACGCGAAGATTACTCCTCTGCTCCGCACGATGGGGGGCGTGCTCATGTTTTGCCTGCATCAGCTGTTAGACCACTGATCACGCGTCCTCTCGAGAGGACAGACGGAGCAGGATCGCTCGCTGGTCCGCGCGGTGGAAGGAGGGTGCACTCATGTGAAAGCACGCCGCACTCGGCAGACCCACAGACCTCGCATACCGTATATGACACAAGATAACACACCCCCTTGGCCGATTTTCAAAGCTCAATTTCTCAACAGCAGGAAGAGTCACAGCGCCGAAAACGGCGGCGTTGGAACCGTCTCGTCGAGAGCTGTTCGAAAACGTATTGTTTCGTTTATGCATCCTCTTCGTCGTGGAGTAATCGAGCTTTGAAAATCGGTCCAGGGGGTGTGTTATCTTGTGTCATATACGGTACCTGCGATGCCCGGACAGAGTTATACACCGGGGTTTCGCCGACCCAGGCAACACGCTCGAGGGCGTACTCATGCAAATGCATGCCATATGGTGGGTAGGGGTGGCGTAAATTTGAAGCACTGCTTCGTTGCCTTTGTACGCGTTTGCTTGTGTCGCCCCCCCCCCTCCGCCGCCGCCGAAAAAGGGGGACAATATGGCAACGGCGGCATCGGCAGCAACGGCGGCGGCTACGGCGGCGGCGAACGCGGCGAGCGAAGCGGAGGGGGAGGAATGCCCCCTGGCGGCCATCTTCTACGCCGAGTTCGACGACAACGAGGGCGGCAAGATCCTCCACCAGTACCCGCCAGAGTAAGCTAAATATTGATCGATTGAGTGGTGATCATGGTGATGACAGCGTTTTTTTTGTTCACAAAAAGGAGTTGTTGCCTGCTGACGTTTTCGCGTGAGATCGACGACACATATTTTAACCACCACCATCCATCCATCCATCTCATCGACGACCGCTGTTGTGAGCTTCAAGACATATTGCAGCAGTCAACATGCAGCAGCAGCACCGCCACACCAACAAAAACAATTATTAAGAACAACGACGACTGCTATTAGGTTGAGATATAAAGTATTGCAACAGTAAACAAGCAGCACCAACAACAACAACAAACATAAAGAATAACTAACAACAACAACAACAACAACAACAACAACAACAACAACAACACTATCTCTAACAGCGACCTCCCCGCGCCTCTCTCCCTTCCCACCACCCATCCGAAACAATACGAAAAGGAAATTCACGCGGACGCACTGCAAGATGCTCTCCTCGCGAATAATCTGCGACAAGGAGTTCTGCGAGAGGGTTTCCGTCGTCGACTCCATGGCCATCCCGTGGACGCTTGCCTCCTTCCCCTCCTCGATCAAGGACGAAAAATTGGTACAGCAGTCGTGCCCCCGACATATAGTGGGGTAGCTCAATAGAGAGGGCTCCGTTAAAGAGGGTCGAAATCGGTTGGCACCGACTCGACCCGCTGTAGTATAGTTCGGAAACACCCGAGCATGCCTCGATCATGCGGTAATATCACCGTGGGGTACGCGTTGACAGTCTCGATCATTGAGTAGAAACCCCTGGGATTCGCGATAACACGCCTGGAACATGCTGCAAATGTAACCGTGGGATAAGCGTTGAAGGCGGGACCAATCAGCAGCACAATATCACCTCGGAGTTTGCCTTTTTTATTTATTGACAACCCGACACCGAAGACATGCGGCGTCGCGGTATCCAGTTGTATGTATCCCGTGCTAGTCCGTACGGATTCTTGACCGCTTAGGAAAATTAAAGAATGAGAGCGTATTTTCCTTCTTCGGTGCCATTTAATCGTCCATCCCGGACTCTTGTTGGTTCTACGGTTTGTTTTTTGTTGGACCCGTTTTGGTGATATGCATAGTATCCTTGACTTTCGTTTTTTTCGCGTGGTGTTCGTGTACGTCTCGGCAGTACAAGCGGAATTGCCTCAGCTTCAACATAAGCTTCGTTTTCAAGAAGGGCCACGCCCAGGCGGTGAGATACACGATTACTCTTTTTTTCTTGTCTTCGCTTGGATGTTCCATGCGTCGGAGCGACGGGTACATGCCCGCCCTATGCGTGCCGGTGTTATTTTCTATTTTTCCACCCCATCGTCGTCAATGGTCTACCAACAAAGGCACGCAAAACACGAGTACGCCCTCCCCCCGCCTTTTGTGCTGAACTCCGGTGTACACACACATGTTTCGGACTACGATTGACTCGCCGGCCTCCTTTTGGTTTTGCGGTGCTTTCAAACATGTTTTTTGACGGGTTCACAGCCGTCCCTGCCCTCTTTTCTCACGTGTACTAACGCACGACCGTGCACGCGGTGCGTCTGCTTTTGTTTTTTTTTTCGTGTTCGCGAGATCGGAACCCGTATTCGGTGTACAGCACGAGACACACCCCGCCCATGCCGTATTGTCATTGTTTTTCATTCATCACTTTGTCCGTTGTGCACAACTTTTCTGCGGGGTAGGACCTCCACTCCGTGTGTATCTCGAGAGTCAGGTTTGTAATGACCGAGCCGAACAGTCCATGACCCGCGGTGGTTCGAAAAATGTCTCCCTTAGGGGCCCTGCGGGCGTTGTTGTGTCTCTCTGTTACTTCCTGGATTTAGCTTTTTCCCGCGAACCGTTTCTTCCCCTGAAGATGGCTTGAGCAGCAACCACAACAGCACCTAACTGTTGTTTTTTTGCCACCTCTGCTAGCCCGTTCTCTCGTGAGAGGTGTTTTCTCCAATGCCGACCAGGCGTCGGCGCTGCTTACGCGCTCGAGTGTGGGTGATTTAGCGACACGCATTAAGCGCACTTCGGTGGTCGAGGCGGTGATTTGTGGATGTTGGGGACAAGGACCCACGTGTGACCCATCCCCTTCCCTCACGAAAAACCGTTCTGGTTGACCAATCAAATTGCAGCTGGTGCAGAACCGCCCTTGTGGAGCCCCCCACCTACGACACCCGCTCCACCCAGAGATTGACCCTCTCCGATTTGGTCATCGATGATCGGTCGTGTGAGAACAGTTCTCCATCCGCTCGGGGACGCGTGGTGAATGGTGAAACAGCACAGAAATCCAAATCGGTGAAGGGGTCGGTGGCGTCCTTTCAGAAACACAACGACAAAGTCAAGACTGATTCCGATGCAAGAAACTGCCTGGTATGCAGAACATGACTACCCCCCCCAATTTCGTATTTTTTTGCGATGATACCAGCCGGTGGTCCCGTACGACAGGGACCCGTTCATCAAGGTTCTCGAACGGTTCGGGAGGTGGCTGAGAGAAATGGAGCTTAGGTTCGGGTACCTCAAGTCGGGTAAACAAGTGAACAAGGTGCGTGGTGGAGGTGGTGGTGGTGGTGGTGGTGCTACGCGGACGCGTGGGCATAAGAATGACGTGATGTTGTTTCCTTGTTATTTTTTGACTGTTGTTGCTGTTGCTGCTGCTGTTGTTGTTGTTGTTTCCGCTGCTGTTGATGTTGTTGTTGTCGTTGACGCTTCTGGCGGTGTTCATTTTGTTTTCTGCCGTTGGCGGGGGTGGCTGTGCATCTGATGGTGGTGACGGTGTGGTCGTGCTCGTAGATGATCGTCGTTTTGTTGCTCTGGATGCGCGCTTCGGTGAAGCTTGTCTTGGTGATGGCGCTATGCCCCCCACTCACGCCGCGTACCCCTCGAAGAAACTGGGTCCGCCGGCTACCCATCCATCGCGCCAAGATGCTGGCACGCGTGCGTGCCGGGTCGCCCTTGTCTTGTTGCCACCCTGCATCTCTCCGTATCCAGTTGTTGGAAAGGGCTTTTGACGTCGAACTGCGAGTGTGTGTGCTGTTTAGAATGCCCCAATCCGGCCGAGGTAAGTGTTTTTTTTTATATTTCGCAGCCCCCGAAGTCTCCGCAGACCTTCTACGCATGTAACTACCATCGACCGAAAAAGTTTACAGGACGCCCCGGTTAGCCCTCCAAGTTACCGCTGTTTTTTATCGACGGCCGATAGTATATACCACGAAACCTTTTCTCGGCCGAGTTCTCCTCTCCCTTCCTCCCTCCCTACCCCCCCCCCTCCCTACCGAAAAAGGTCCGGTTGCAAGAGCTGCTGGCAAGGGCATACAAGGGGCTGAAGACCGACCGCAGGGCCTTGCTCATGCTCACCGGTCCGGGTTGCACCTCGCTCATGCCCCTCCTGCAGCCCTACGTGGCGGCCACCCCGCTCAAGGACGTACGTGAATGATGTGGTTTCGGCCGAGTCGATCGCTCCGCACTGCGGCACGTAGTTAAGCGGATTCCGTTCCGGCGCACCCGAAAGCGAAAGAAAACTAAAACTCATTCATAAACACCAACTTAATTTTCGAGGTGGGAACATCAACATTTTGTCTCTTTCGGAATGTGTTGTTTGTTTTGTTACTGAATTGCCGACTTTACTTGTTCTTAAAAGGGTCGATCCGGTTTCTCTTTAACTTCCAACGTCTGTTTTGTTTCGTCGGAAGGAAGCTTTAGCTTCCCATGCTTTCTATTTTTTTCCTCGGTGGGGAAAGCTTTAGTTTCAAACATACTTTTTTCGGTGGAAGGAGCTTTGACTTGCAATGTTTTTCGCATTTTTCCTTCGTGGGGAAGGCGCCAACCTCCAACGTATTTTTCTTCCCGTGCAACCAGCTTTTACTCGCAGCTGTCATTTTTTTGTTCATCAGTGGGCAAGGCGTTAACTTCCAATGTTTCTCATTTTTTTCTTGTAGTGGCGGAAGATCCAAGACCACGACGTGCCGGCGAGGCGCTGCCCCGGGCTGGTGGAGAGCGTCTCTGCAGCCGCGAGCGAGCTTGCCATGGACCCGGACGCCGTGTGGGGTCCGGAGGTGGACCTGGTGGTCCAACAGGTGCTGCTGCTGCTGTTGATGTTGATGTTGCTGTTGCTGTTGCTGTTGCTGCTGCTGCTGCTGCTGCTGTCTTTGTTGTTGTTGTTGTTGTCGTTGTCTTTGTTGTTGTTGTTGTTGTTGTTGTTGTTGTTGTTGCTGCTGCTGCTGATGCTGTTTTCTTGTTTTGTCGTCGTCGTCGTCGTCGTCGTCGTTGTTGTTGTTGTTTTTGTTGTTTGGTTGTTGTTGGCGATGATGGTCGTAGCTGTTTTGGTGATGGTGAGGATGGCGGTGAGGTGCAGGAACATGTCTGCTCTAGACCCAAGCCTGTTTCAGACCGCGCGGTTACTGTAGTATGGCCGTCGTTTACTAGCCGTCCCCTCGTGTCGAGCCACAATGTGGAAGATTACGTACGTATGCATGTAGTTGATGCTTATGTTTAGATCATGTTTGCCTCTCAATTTATTTATTTTTTCCCGTTGCTATTGTTTTCCTTCTTTTTTTTTTTAATTCCTGCGCGCTCGTCCTGCGGCACCCCGGCCAAAGCATCGAGCATGTGCCGAAAGAGGTTATTGGCGAAATCACACACACAATGTTAACACCTTCGTCTTTTCCACCGAGCAGCCCGGGGTGGGCCCGTCGCGGATCCCTTCATAGTGCCCCTTCGATCAATGGTGATACCGCGTGTTTCCGTGTGATGCCGGGGGAGCTGTGTGTCTCCATCTGATTGGCCGAAACGTACGCAACTACCTCAGGTTCTGCCGCACGTAAATGGGGTCAAGCACGTCAAGAAGATATCACGGGACTCCCAGGTTTGTTTCGAAGATCATATCCTGTTCTGCTGCTGTGGTCGCCGTGGTTGTTGTTGTTGCCGTTGGTGGCAGTTTCTGCTTTTCGGTGGCGAGGACGGTGGTTTTGATGGCATTGTTCTTCACATTCTTCCTTCTGTTATTATGTTCCTATCCTTCAAGATACGCCTGTTAGTGTTGCCGCATCGTGTCATGTTCTTCATGTGTCGGTAACACTGCCGTTGTGTCGCCGTCGTTGTTGTCACGCCTGGTGTTGTCCTTACAGCTGTACAAGACAGACGAGTTCACACACATTCTCTCACCCATTTTATCGCCGTCGCGAGTGCAGGTGGAAGTCATACCTGGTGTTATCCATACAGCTTTCACAGACCGCTACAGAGACTATGCATGGTGTTGTCCTTACAGCTTGTACAGACGTGCAGACCGCCATAGAGACCATGCCAGCTGTTGTCCTCACAGCTTGTACAGACCGCCACAGACACCATGTCTGCTGTCATCCTTACAGCTTGTACAGACGGTCACATTTCGCAAATTTCGGCGTCGTCGTCGTCGTGGGGTGGGTGCAGGTGGAGATCGCGGCGGTGAAGGCGGCCCTGCGGTGGGTTCTCTACACCAACCAGATCTCCCTGACGGACGTCTTCCGCTACAGCAACATCTACGTCCAGACAACCACCACGGCAGGTGCTTGTGCTTGTGTGCGTGTGTGTGTCTTTTATTACTAGCATCGACCGCGCTAATCGGCCAACCAACGCTAATCGGCCAACCAATGAGAAGACGTCAGTCTCAGTGCGGTGTGTGTGTGCGTGCATCCGTTCGTTTTTTGGGTGCTGGTATCGAACACGCCGTTGTTCCGGCCGACCAGCTACAATGCATCAGTCCTTGCGTGTATGCGTTTGGGTGCTTTTTCGTTAGCATCGACCGCGCTGCATAGCTGGCTCAATAATGAAGATACTTCAGTCTCCGTGCGGCTAAGTAACTGGGAAAACTTCTCATGGCCACATGATCCGGGACCCCCTGAGGAGGGGCCATGGGCGAAGCTTGTGTATATTTGTGAGGTATATCTGTTTATCTCTTGGATTTTCCACCGGCCATGTTTACCGGCTGGCCAATGAAACATCGCCAGTCTTACAGATAGATATAGAAACGCCAACGGGGTTTTGGGGGAAGCTTGTGTGTGTGTGTGTGTGTGTGTTTAATCTGTTTGTGTTTGGGCGGTGTTTCTCTTGGATGTTCCACCGGCCATGCTTACTGACTGGCCATTTAAACATTACCAGTCTTACAGATAGATATAGGAATCCCAGCGCGATTTAGGGCTGACGATGTTTCCTTGGCCAACCGGTAAGCATGGGCGGTGGAAAATCCAAGAGCAGTGCTTCACAAACACGCACAACAATAAATATACACGAACTTCCCCCATGGCTCCACCTCAGGGAATCCTGGATCATGATGAAGGTATGTGTGTTGTAAGTTGTACCAGGTAAAGTTGCTGTCGTTGTAGCTTGTGTTGGGGTTGGTGTATTTGACGACAAGGGCACCCCTAAATTATTTGGAAAACGTTGCGATTACGCCAAAGCCTCCACAGCTACAACAAACTTACGGATACGTTGCGTGACTGGGGGCATCTTAGCAACGACGTGAGCCGAATTGGGTCGCGGCGGTCAATGCGTACTACTGTAGCGACATGGACGAAAGTTATTTATGAAAAAACACAAAACAATAACCCATGCCCCAACTCAGGACCAGGCGTCGGTAGCACGGGTGGCGAATATTTATGCCACCGCGTATGTATTTTTGATATTGTCGTTTCAAGCACGGGGGCATCAACGGCAACCCGTACACCCTTGCTCGATTCTCGGTAACGAACGGTAGGTTGTAACACGACTGGCTACAAGTTTTCTTTTCGTCCGTTGTTGTTGGCGTTTCGTGCGCAGAGTACACCAAGCGGAAGGACTTCAGGATGGCGTGCTGGGAACGGATAGCGAAACCGGTCGTCGCTGCCTCAGTTGCCGACAACGTTTCCTCCGCCGGGGGAGACGCAGAAGGAATGTACCAAGGTATGTATCATACTGCTACACATACCGCTGCTGCGGCTGTGACTACCTTCGGTGCTGTCGTTGGCTGGATGGTGTTGTTGTTCTTCCTTCTTCGTGGTTCGTCGGCAAGCGTTCGCTAGCATGGAACCGCAACCGTTGTGTACAGGAATTGTTTTCTTTTGTTGCGAAGTGTTGCATCCGTTGTGCTTGTTTACCTTTGTTTGCTCTTGTTACCTTTTGCTCTGTATTTTTCATTATTGTTCTCTGTATTCTATTTTGTGCAGTTTTTTGCTTGGTTGAGACACTTTCTCGGTATTTTTTCTTTTACTCGTTCGTGTTATCGGCGTGTTTTTTTTCTTTTTAATTTGACCCCCCCACTCGCGCCCCGTCCCCCCCGACAGGCCCAGCCTCCCAGCAGCAGGAAGAGGCCCCCAGCGCGGAGGGGGGGGCCGCGGGTGGAGGCTTGACCGTTGGTAACGGCACGTCATCATCGACAGCGGCAACGCCAAGGGCGGCGCTGCCAGAGAGCGACTGGGGGGCAGTCGAGGGAGACGGGGCGGGCGGCGGAGGTGGTGCTGGCATCGAGGCCGAGACAGGAACCATTCCGGATGCCCCCCACCCCGCCTGTCTTCGGAGGCTTTACGGCAGCTTCCAGTGCGACCGGTGCGTGTTGGATGCTGCAGTCCATGTGTTTTTTTTTTTCCTGTTTTATTCCGGTCGTTCTTTGCTTTCGGGCTGTGGCGTGTTCGCCGCTCCGGCTGACAGCTTGGCTACATGACAAGATATTTTTCTCTTCTTCTATCATAAGCACTTTCTCCCGATGTATCTACGGCTGTTTGTTTGCATCGATCGGTGCATCGCTCCTGCGCAAAGCCCCCCCCCTCCCCCCGCCGCCCCATTGAAAGTACCCGAGGGTGATCGTTGTTTTCGTGCTGTCGGTCCGATACGCCGATTGGTTGTCTGTCGATTCGCCATCCGTTGACTGCGGCGAGGGCCGCAATGTTTTGATATTTCGCTCTCGTGGGGCTGCCGCCGCCCACAAAAGGCGAACGTGAGAATTACTAACTTCTCGTGCATCACAAGGCGGTGGATGTTGGCTGTTGAAAACGTGCGCCTGCGTTCTCTCGCCTCCCCCAATCGTCGGCCACACCGTTGGCTCAGTTGTTGACTTTCACGTTGACTACACTGCCGAGTCGTCGACTTCAACGTTGAAACGACTGATTTGTTGATAGTGAAACGACTTTTTTCGATTATTCTTGTTCGTGGAGTTTGACCCTGTGCTTCATTGTCGAGCCGTTGGCTTCGCCGTCGAAAATGTAGCTTCGAAACAACTAGGTGTCTCAATTCAAAGCACGTGTTTGACCAAATCGCTCGCTTAGTTCGTTGAGCTTAGTCGCTCACTCGGTTGTCTAGCCAAGAGTCGTTCACTTTGTATGCTGCCATTACGTTCGGCTGAAGCGTTGACTACTTTATGTCGTTGACTAATTTGTTGGTTAACTGAAAGGTCCGTGATGGACGTGCTCAAGATCGCCGAGGGGCCCGAGGGCTTCGTGGAGCAGTTTGACCACCGGAGGTGCGTGTTCCCTTACCATCATCCGCCAGCGTCACGCCTACCCTGCAGCGGAGGGCAACATACAGACGCCTGCCGAAAGTTTCTCCAGATTTGTTTTTGTGGTTAGAATCGGCCTCGCGCGTTTCAAGCCAGATGTCTTTTGTCATAGGTGCGTAGGTGTGTCCAGCGGTTGCCGCACACGGAGAAAACGAGGGTGAGGCCCCGGCGCGTGTTTCGGCCCTGTAGGTGTGCTGTTTGGTTGTTTCGCGCAGCGATCGCACGACTACCTTTCCGACACGCGGGGGGGGGGTGTAAAGGCGCACCCCTAGCGGGGGGCTGATCTCAAAGAATGACGATCGCAGCGGCCATGCCAAGGGTCTACTTCGGGTGACTACAGCGGCCATGCATGGTTTCGCGCACCCCTCCCCCCCCCAAACACACAATACTGGCGAGTTTAATGGTCTAACGATTATGGCATACACGGCTATGATTACATCCCCTCCCCCCTCATGTGACCGGAAAATCCTGCTGTTTGTTGTTATTTCTTTCTGCTCAGGATGTGCGCGTTCGGCGCGGAGGTGGGCATCCTCAGAAGGCTTCACTGCGCCCCTCACTGCGTGAGGGCGGAGGGGAAGGAGGCGGCGGCGCGGAGAGAAGAGGTGGACAGAGCGAGCCACCCACGACGCTCACTGGCGAGTGGTTCTTTTGAGTATTGCGGTGGCCTTTTCAACTGTGGTTTGTTCGAGAGAGGAGGTTGTCGCCCGTCTTGCATGGCGGTGCCCGTTTACTTCTGGAGAAACGAGCGGGGCGGAGGCAGCGACCCAGCGCAGATATAGTGGTTGGGAGAGTCCTGAGTAGTTGTTCTTTTCTTTTTCAGCCAAAACAGTATTGCTTTGTCGTGAAATGTTATAATGCTGAGGTTTTGGACGCGCGTTGCGAAAGTGAGGAGGCGAGACCCTCTTGCTTATAGTCCCCCTGAAAACTCGATAACAAATACCGAGGTAGGCGTACACAACAATATTGTCCTGCTTATTTTTTATTTTTTCGTAGATTGACGATGCTGTTGCTACGGTTGGCTACGCTGTTTGGCACTCGTTATCGTTGTGGGGTTTTTCTTTTCTTTGTCTCTCATGCTCGGTAGGAAGTCATGGTCGCTCTGCAGTATTGAATGATTCTCAGTAATGACAAGGGCCTTGTTGCTGCACGTCAACTGCGGGGTGAATGTAACCGGTGCCATACGTGTTCTTGGCAAATTTCACGTGATTCCGGCGCGTCATGTACCCCTCCGCCCCGTGTTTTCGGCCCTGCTCGCTGTGGAAACGTCCACACACCAGGGAGACCGCTTCGATCTTGAGTACGTGCAACGGTTAATGAACGGCAGGCGGACGGAGGACGCCCTGTGCTGCTTCCTCTCCTGCTCTCCACAGGTTAGTTATTTACCGTACACAGTACACCTGTAGGCAAATAATTTTTGCAAAATATAACAATTACAACAGTTGACAGGCTTGGCATGTAGCATGGAAAGTGCAAGAGGTGCTGTAGTGTCCAAGGTACGTCATTGCACCCCTTTACGCTCTACCTCGGAGGGAAAGGGCCGCAAACCTGTCGCTCGCCTTCTCACCGCAGGTTTAGTGACGCCAAAATTGTCCAACTACTACGAAACACCGCCCGGTGATGAGTGTTTTTATGCCTTTCGCTGTTTTCATCGGTCGTGGGTCTGCTGTGGTACACCGTACTTACTTGTAGACACCCACATTGTTGACGCTATGTAGATATCGACGTTTGGTCCTTCCGCGTAAGTTCTGCCTACGCTGCCGCTTTTCGAATAAACCGGCGAAGGACGCCTCGCGCTGCCGCTCTCAATGACATGGTTGTGATAGTGGTATGTATGCACGGCTGTGGGTCGATTGGCTGCGGACCAATCATTGCACCCCTCGTGTGTCTCGATGAGGAAATCGGGGGGCTACGCACTGCCGTGCTGCTTTCCCTTCGCCTTTCTTCCGGATAGTGTTGCTGTTTCCGGCCCGTTAGCCACTACGGCGGTAGCGGCGCTGTCGCGATTATGTTTTGGGTGGGTCCGGGGCGTTCCGTCTCTCGTGCGTTTTCGCGAACGGAGCGGGCTTTTGCCCAGCGTTCCATGTTCGGTTTGTTCCGACAAGAGGGATAAGTCTGTCGTCATTTCTGGCTTCGGCAGTGACCCTCACAGATATCATTTGTTCATCTTGAACACCGCAGGAGAGTAGATACTGGATAGCCGTCAAAGATAGTTGTGACGTTAAGGCAGATCACAACCGCAACACAACCTCATTTCGTGACGAGCGAATTTTATCTCTTGAAATATTCAGTTCGTGCAGAGGAATGGAATGAAACTATACATACGTGAAATTAGAAAACAGAGTACCAACAGCGATTAATCGGGCATGTGAGCACGTCATAGAAATAACTCATCGTGGAGTCGGGCATGTAGCCGACTGTTTACCCGTGCGCCGGGTATTGTTCCGCCGTGTGTACCCAAGTTCCAGGGAGATTCGGGCAGGGTTCCGGACGGACGTGTCGCAGACCTCAGTGAAGTATCGGGAAGGGTTTTCGGACATGTCACGGCAATATATTGCTAGAATATGCTGTCGTATACTGCAAGAATACAAGCACACAAGACAATGCTTCTCTCGTTGCGCGCATCGTGCACGAAGGTATACAAATGCAATATACAGAAGTTCGTATGAAAATAATAACCTAAACAACTGGTGATGAACACGACACCACAAACGAGGAGCAAGAACCTCTCCGCCCGACCAAGCTGCAACAGCAGTCGTTACTACACGTTCGGTAGAGATTCGAAACGGACATACATCGACAATTTCTCTATTGATGAACACCTTTGCCGCTGAGGTTTGATTAGCCACACAAGATTCGAAAAATCTTGCTACAGACATGAAGCACAACGCCACGCTAGGTATCTTCAGTCCTCCAACCCGAAATCATCCGCGGTAGGGATCGCGGCGTTTTGCAGTATGTCGAGGGCGGCTTCAGCTGCCAACAAGTCCGGGTTCCGCCCGTAGAACCGCGCCGGCAGACACGACCGGATGTTCTTGGTGGCGATCACGGGGATCTGCTTCGTCGCGGGGATGTGCTCAAAGTTGGCCTTGAGGAACATCACCATCTCCGCCCAGTAGACATCCATGCGGCTCCTGTTGGGCATGAGAAAGTTGACGCCGACGTCGAAGTCGCGATCCTCTACCTGCGAGGCTGCCACCTGGCTTCCGAACACCTGCTGTGCGGCCGGGGCGAGGCAAGGGAAGACGTTCTTGCCCGTGCGCCCCCACCAGGACAGCACCTCGCGGCAGTCCAACTGCGTAATTCAACGAAGGAAGCAGGCGAGGTGGCTTTGTTTTCCCGTCGAAAGAGGAACATTTCCCCCGTGCAGCATACAGAAGCGAGGTGCAGAACAAGCGCCAAGAGCACAGCAATCCACATCAAAATTGGTTGTACAACGTTGCGATCACATTTCACATCCGATTGAACATGAAACAACGCAAAGAATCTGTGACTACCGACAAACATGGGCCCACACGTTCCTTTTGACGGACAAGTGTGCCCGTCACTCATACAACATCATTCCTACATCACTCGCAAAATCCCAACGTACACACTACCACAAGATGCTTTGACTACACTACACATCCACCTACCAGACGGCTTCGAGAAAAGGCCCTGCCGGCCATGCCTGGCAGACTACCGAACTATGAAAATGCCCATGAAATATTTCAATAACAAGAAACACGCTTGAAAACGTTGTGTTTCCGACATACCTCGACTGCCGTCATGAAGAGCGACTTGTAGCGCTCGATTTCGCCCGCCACGATCCCACCCAGCTTCCTGTCCTCACTATTCGCCCAGTCGTCTTTAGCGCCGCCGCCGCCGCTGGCTTCGCCCCGCCCAAAGGCAGCGAACCTGCTCATTCTGGCGGGGCTACAGGTTGAGCCCTCGGCGCGGAGGCGCTTTCGAGACGGTTGCCCGTCGTCCACGACTGGTGGCGCAGATCGGCGGTACCGCTCTCGCGCAGCTCCCCAGGCCCTGGTCTTAATGTCGCCCCAGCAAGCGTCAAGCTTCGCCGTCACGCCGGCGTCCGGGGTTGGCGCCAATCCCCTAATGCCGGTGGGAAGGTGCTCCGCGTCCGCCGCAGTCAGCCGGAGGGCATCCAGGTACTTGCCGGTGTTGAACGGTGGGGTGAGGAGCACGGCGGCGTCGCGGAACGGGGAGGGGTCGGCGGATTCCTCGTCCCACACTCGCCCGAAGAGCCTCTCCACGAGGGCTTTGCTCAGTTCCTTCCGTGTCTTGACGGTGACCGGACGCAACTCGTCCGAGGGCACCATCGCCGACGGCAACGTCGGTCTGCCCCCCTCCCGCCCCATTCGCGCCTCGCCGTCCTTTTCCGCCTCCGGGGAGTTCGGCGCAGGGGGGATGTCGAACACCCTAAGCGGCCGGTCGGGGTCGAGCACCTCCGCCTTGAGCTGCGCGAACGCCATGTGCGTCTCCGCGGTCATCGGTACGTCGCCGCACCGGCTGTCGCGCGTTATCGCGGAGAGAGGCTGCAGGAGCGAGTAGAGCTGGAGGACGTCGTTCCTGTTGTTGTCCTCGTCGAGGAGGAATTCCTCGCCGTCGTCGGCGTAGACCTTCCTCAGGACGTGCCACAGGCGGAATATGCGCTCCATCACGCGCACGAGGCTCGGCCACCCCGCGCCGCGCCCCTTGGCCTTCAAGATGTCGTTCAGCGCGTCGATCTCGATCTCCTCGAACATCTCCTTGAAGGCGGCGGACTGGTTCATCTTCGCCGCGGTCTTGACCACGAGCCTAATGACCTCGCGCGCGTCCCTATTCTTGGAACTCTGGGGGTCCGCAAAGATGCCGAAAGCATCCTCCGCGGCCTTGCCCGCCAGGTCGCAGCCGCACCAGTCCCACCCGATCTTGTGCGACGCCATGAGGACGTCCACACACATCGCCCTGACGTCGGGGTCGCTGCCGGTTGTCCCGCCGGCGAGGTCGGAGAGCTTGATGCCGTTCTCCGCCAGCGTCGCCCTGAAGATGGTGAAAAGGGCTTCGGTTGCCGTCTCTGTCCCCTGAATCGCCGCGGAAGGGGCGTAGTGCTTTACCTGGCGAGCGAGAAAAAAAAAATGGGAGAGGGGGAACAGGAGCAGGTTTGCAATATCAACGGCCTACACATTGACGAGCAGCGACACTTGGCATGCTGCAGTCACGCAGAAAGTAATCTGCAGAAATCTGCGCATGTTTCTCGATGCGGTGCGTTTCAACATCTCCCGCCCCGCCACTACGGCAAGCAACGACAGAGGGAGGTATACAGCTATGTTCAACATTTTTTTGCCGGAATGTATCTACCGTTTTGAAGATGTTTTGTCTGAAAAGGGGAACAAGGCGATAGAGACGGTACCGCATGAGAAACTGGCAGGCATTGCTCGCCGAAGAACACTGCTAGCAGCAATATTACAAACAATGCGTGCCCACGCTCTACGTGGGCAACCGAGGAGGGGACCGGGGAAATGTACTTACAGCAAGAAGAGCGTGTTGCAGGGTGAAGTTGCTGTCCACATAGGAGACATGGACACTGAGGTATTTACGCCAAGAGACCTTGCATGTCCACAGGTCAAGCCCATAGTGGATGATGGGCAGAGTTGCCTTCTTGATCTCTTCCTGCATGTTCCCGAGCACTGCCTGCGGGGGAAGGTAGCTGTCAGAAATGACTGCAGCGATGCTCAGATCGGCTTAATAATCGTGGATAGCCACCGCACTGGTGTCATTTCAGCATGGCTCTCGACACGGATACAAACAACAAGTTTCACGCACCCAATCAGAATCAAGTTTCTCGTAAAATCACGTTGATGATACTTCGGTTGTTTTCAAGTGAGGCTCTTAGAAAGTGGGAGTTTGTGATGCCACTTCTAACGCCATCCTAGCGGTATCCTAGTTGTAACAAAAGGAACGCTTCCTTCGCTGCTAAACAAGTCTGTTTTTCGAACAACCGTAGGTTATGCATATCACGCTTTGGACAGCCTTATCGAGCAGCAGCTGTCCCCAGCAACGACCGGTCGTAGCGTGCCTACCCTTACCAACTCAATTTGCGAATATCCTATCGCCTCTCGGTCGGTATTTCCACCACACAAGATGCACCATACATACGGCGCGAAGAGCTTGGTCACTGCTGTCGTTTCCGCGGATAGAGAGATATGACACAAAAATCTAATCGGCGATAAACTAGTATCTCAGACCCCAATCAACCGTTGGAGCTCGATTATAGAGCGTATTTTCAGGGGCCAACAAAGGACAGCCTTGCCACTTTTGCGCAGTGTACGAGGTGACTTGATGATCGCTGCGCATTCCCTCACCTGTTTCGTGGCGACGTACAACTCTATAAGGAGGTGTTTCATGCGCCAAGAGGGGAGGGCTGGAAAGGGTGTGGTGTGGGCGGTTAGTAACCCCACCAGCTCCTGCCAAGTCGTGCCAGTCGAGAAAAAGTCGACGGGTAGAAACTTCTCCACTAGCCACTTCGCAGCCAGGAGCCCAAGAACTCTAAAAGAGGGATACAAAGTCGAAGCAGAACAAGGAGCAGCGGCAGAGCAGTTGCGGAAGGAGATGTTGGGAAGAGCGTGACAAACTACCTCAGCGCGCTTGGGCAAGGTTACCTCGGGGAGGACAACTGGCATCCGCAAGCAGTCCCGCCCACTTGCTTTCGGCGGCATATTAAATTCGATTAGATGCTCAGGGCCTGTTCTCACGCAATCGCGGCACCGATGAGTGGTAAGTTTTCTTCAGAAAAATCGCTGTTTTGGACAACCCCACATGCCGAAACGATCTTCAGAAACTCCAAGGTGCAGCGGAACCGCTGTCGAGGGGTTAGGTCGCCAAACAAGGTGAGGGCGCTATGTAGACCATGTACACCACGGAAGCTGCGGTACAAGTCAGCATGCACCGGCAGATGGCGTGTTGATTCAACAACTCGTCCTCAGTCTTGCTCTACAGCTCTTGTTGGACTGTCTCTTTGCGTATGACCGGCTATTGGCTTTCGGTGCTGAGGTTTGAAAGCACCATGCACAGCTGCCGTGGCGCGAAAAATTGACGCGCTCACACAATAAGTGCGCTACCCCTATTTCCAAGCAGCAGCAGGCAGTGTACAATGATCGTGGGTGCCTCACGGCCGTTTGTACTCGGCCTAGTCAGAGGTAACGCCAACATGAAGCTTGGGGTGTGCAGAAGCGGTGCACTCCCAACCTGGTCTTTCCTTTTGTGTTTTCTTTTTAAGAGAGTGGCGCACAGAGATTAGCGATTTTGACTGTTTTCGAGAACGACCGAATGAGGTACCCAGCATTGCGCATGAGATGCAGAAGACGAGTTGGTTGAGGAGTCGTGCGTCCAAAACCACACATTCATCGCACTGTGCGGCGTGTGGGCCTTGTTGTTTCCACTAGTAGATCATGCAGCCCAAATTCGCACACGAAGAAAATAAACCCAACCTAAATTCAAGGCTAGAGAGGCGAAACGATGGGTGCCACAACCAGGGAGTATTTGCTATTGTAAATCGGTAGAGGAAGTGATGGAGCAGAGACGAACCCGTCGGCACGCGCAGATCAGTTGCTGGGGCCGTGCTGTCGAAGGCTGCAGCTCCAGCCCGGAACGCCCAACCAAATTGGGTCCGTTCCTTTACGTCCCACTGCCGTTCGCACCGGCACAGGCCCAGTCTCTTGAACTGCTGTGGGTGTACACGTGTAGACTATAGCGACGTGCTCAACAAACAAATAATGGATCGTGAATGGTACGGGCCATGGACCCGGATTTGGCGGAGTTTTTGAAATGCAGCTGAAAGCGATGGCTCGGAATCGGTTACAGATCTGGGGGTGCCAACGCGCATGTCGATTCCCCATCATCTCCCTTACCGACTGCTGTAGCATCGACCAACAACAATTAGAAGTTGAGCCTGAATGTCGATGTCGATGACGAGGTCGATGTTTCTCAGCTGATATTTTCCTAGATATTTTTTTCAAGTACATTGAGGACATCCAAATCGCCACCATGTTGAAAATTGGCCGCTGTATGTACAGTAGTAGTGCTGTCAAAGTCACTACTACTGTAGTATACACTGCATGAATTTATGTCACGCGATGACCAATGCGTGCTTTCCCCGGCAGCGAAAGACATAAGTTCATGCCCCCCCCGTTGACCAAACATGTTCAGTCTTTTGGACGGCCCTCTACTTGTAGGTTTCCCTCCATTCATTGCAAAGACTTCAACACATCCCCTTCGATTGTGGCTATAAATCGGGTAGCCTCTGTCTTCACAGAGTACTCTATGCACATAGTGTAAAAAACGTGGTACATACATAGCTATAGTCTACTGCTGTTTGATATTACAGCAGTATCCCGTAACTATCTTGCTGCCACTTATTTACGTTAGGTCAGGACCTCAAGAACACTCACACACACCTGTCCTTCCCATCCCCAGATTTCTTGCTCGCGGCGAGGTTCTTCACGATGCTCTCTTGCGTTGCCTTCCTCTTTCCCTGCTTCACGACGCCACCCATGCCCTGCACGCCGTGCGCGTTCTTGAGGTGCGAATTGACGTTGCTGCGGTCTCCGCCTTTGCAGGGAACCATCTTGTTCTTTCGGCGGCACGTGGCGTCCGCCAGGCAGAAGAACTTGTGTTTTTCCCCCTCCAATTCCTCGACGTACACTCCCAGCCTGTACATGAACGATCTCTCGCCGTCCCCTTTTCTCACATAGCCGTGCGGCACCTGGAAGTTGTCGACCGCCTTCACGACAGCCACGTCAACCTCCTGCACCTCCCCTTTCTTGTTGTACACGGGCGCCTGCCTGGTTACGGGCACGCCTGCATCACCACCTCCCACGACAGCTGGCTCTACCTTGCCCCCGTCCACCGATGATCCGCGCCGAGGGTCTGCTGTAGGAGTATAACTCATGTTCCCTCTCGGAAAACTACGGCATTGCTGTAGACTGCTTGCTTCCACAATGTTTTCTGTGTTGCACAAAAGCGCAGCAGACCTATTTTTGGTGTATAGACTAGACTTGTGTGCTTAGTGTACCCTGCCAGAAAAGGTGCGCTTCTGCAGGTTTGGCTTTGTGAGCCTGATGTCCAGAGGGGTTCCAGACGGTTTGTCACACACACACACAGCAGTCCTATGCCGGCACCACCGGCGTTGTTCCACGAGGTGGTAGACACTACCCGTGGAGGCGCTACAGAAGCTTTCGGGTAGGGTCTTGGAAGCGCAACAGAACTCACAGAAATGCAGATGTATCCGGGTAGGTTCCGCCGCCAGTCACAGAGAAAATACAGAACTTGCAGAAGAACTCGGTAGGGGTATGGAACGGAATAGTTTCAGATGTCTGTGGATCAGAACGGGTACGTACCATGATATTCTGCCTGTCATCCTGTGTTCGCGCGCACGATTGGAAGTATCACAGGTTACACAAGTACCGGGCAGGGTTTTGGGAGTGAGTGTCACAGAGCTCACAGGTATGCAGCGAGTACACATCTGTCCGCAGTGCCACAAGAGACTTTCGTGTGTCGGGTACAAAACGGGTCTTTGTTTTTTGTTTTTTTTTACCCGAAAGAAGAGCACCCTACCCAACCTGTAGGGAGTCTGCACGTACAGACCAGCAGATCCTGTTGCTTACCAGTATTTACTTCACAAATATTCCTTGTGCTTGGACCGACACTATGCATGCTACTTACTACAGCTGCATCACGCCCTGTGATTCAGGTATGTATATGTGTTATCCTTCACATATAATATTCTCGAGCTACATGCAGTATTCAGCTGTTTGTTGAGTACGCACCGTTCGTTGACTTTTCTTGGTGCGGGACGAGCTTTTTGTCTATACTGATTGGCAAGGTTTGTTTCCATTCACTCGTTGGCAGTGTAAGCCAGCCGCAACGGTTGTCGTTGGCGGCAGCTCTCCTCAGACTGCTGCTGTTTCACTCACACTTTGTGGTTTATTGGGACCGCTGTGTCTGCCGCTGCTTTTTTTACATGTTCTCGTTCCGCAGGAGCTGACCGAGTTCGCCACCAGCGACGGAAGCAAGGTCTACCGACTCCACCCGTTTTGATACTACTGCTGCAGTGTTTGTTGGTGTGCTGCTGTAGTACCCCGTGTTTCATCTAAGAGCATTTGTGCTCCCCGCCGGAGTGATGCATGTATCTATCTATGTAAGCATTCCATTTCTCCTTCATTGCCGGGAGGTTGTTGGGATATTTTGTTTTTATGCAGTGTTTTTTTTTTGTTTTTTGGGGTCGTCCGCTGGTTTACGGAAGAGTTGCGTTCTTGTGGGCTCCAACGGCAAGAACAAACACATGTCACATCGGCGTTGCTGCTGCTGGAGTCCTCCACCTACCTAGCGAAGTGATAGGAGCAGCAGTGTGTGTTACCAAGCGCTGCGTGCTTTGAACTATGTCGTCTCTCTTGGAAGAAGTCACGCCTACGTTTTGGCTGCTGCCCGCCCCAAAAGTCCGCGCTGGGTGTTGTATGTTCTGGTTGCGACGCCACCAGCGAATCCCTGAATAAATACAATTGCTTGTTGATGTTGCAGCATGTGGTGAGTGGGTGCTAGAAGATGCACCACCTCCTAGAAGGCTTTCGGAGTAAAAGTAAGACTATACTATTGCCTCCTCTGACGCGGACATGATAAATAAGCAGTGGCCAAAATCGGGTACACCCGATCCGAACACGACCATTATCGGTACCATTTTTTTTTCGCAGCTGGCGGTGCCCTCCTGGCGCCATGTGATTGGCCGACGCCCGCCCCTACCCGGCCCTGACCCTATTCCCGCCGGGTGCACCCGATCTATTTGTTGATGTTGAGTATCACCATCAGAAACTAGTATCAGCATCGGGGTTCATGCATTCATGGGTGACTCTGGATCGTTCGGTGGTATAAGACGACGATGACGATTTGGTCGATGATGAAAGTTAGGATGACCAACTAACACACGGCCCACGATGAGGTTTCGAGTGGGGTGCCGAAAAAGACAGGTAGTATCGATTAGAAGTACGAGGTGAGACCAATTCATATGTAACGTTACCATCCATTGAGCCGAGATTCGATCCGAACTACTCTAGTCTATCTATGTACATTGCCACGTCGAGAGAGGTTGAGCACCGCGAGAGCTCCAACCAGCGACGAGGGTATCACGTGGACCAGCTACTTCCAGCGGAGGTAGCCGATCGAGTTCTGTCCGCAATCACATCATCAAGAACGGCGATACAAGGGTAGGTTGATGAATTTCTAGTGGCACACTCATCACACCAACGTGCCTCTGTAGTGCGTTACGATACAGAAAAAAACACGAAAAAAAACAAAGGCATGCTCACTAGTCTGCACTATTTGTACTGAATGGCGTAAACCCAGCCCCAGCATGACAAGACTAAAGCAGCTGATCTCATCGAAATCACAAATACCCTACAATCGTCCGAAAGATGCCTTCGTCCAATCCAAGGACCCTGTACACCATATTCGACCACTCGCGAGCGGTTCTGCCATCCGCCGCAGCACCTTCCCCGCTGCCGCCGGCTACTTGTTCCCTCTCGACCAGCTTGGTCCGGCTACGAGTTACCCGCAGCACCGTACTCTCTTGCACGTGGCTGGCGTTCTGCCGTAGACCCAACCTTTCGGGGTGAGCACGGCACAGGACTAGCATACCTCGGCGACGCCATGCTCGGTCTTGCGGAGCGTATTGCAACAGCTTCCACACGCGTTGGACGTTCACGAACATACTGTCCGTTTCTGGAGTCATGCATCCGACAATGTTGCCGGGTGTGTGACCGTAGGCATCATCGTCTGTTTCGTCTGCGTTCCACCTCAGCAGGAGATCCACTACCTCCACAGCGCCTTCGTCACCAGCCGAGTGTGCTGCAGAGTGTAACGGAGTCCACCTGGCCTGACCGAGTGCGTGCACATCTGCGCCGTGCTTCAGTAGCGCAAGCGTCGCCTCAAAGTTGAGCTTGCCTGCAGCCGCATGAAGAGGTGTCTCGCCATTGATTCGAGTTGCTTGGATGTTGGCCCCCGCCTCCACGAGGACGCCAATCGCCTCAACGTTGTTATTGTACGCTGCGTAGTCCAGCGAAGGCGCACCATGTAGGGTGCAGGCCAAGTTGACATCAACACCGTGCTCGATCAAAGCTTTCATGATACCGATAAAACCACCGTCGACGGCAGCGTCCATGGGCGTGACACCATGATCACCCTGTCGAACGGCAACGTCGGCACCGGATGCCAGGAGAAGTTTCACTACGGCGATATGCCCGCGTTCAATCGAGCAATGAAGAGGTGTCGTCCCTTTTGGGCCCGCAGCATCTATCTCAGCTCCTTCCAGCAGCAACCACCGTGCCATCTCTGTTCTGCCACGCATAGCAGCGAGGTGGAGCGGGGTAAAGCCATCAAAGGTGTCGTTGATTGATGCTCCGTTCTGCAGCAGACTGTTGGCGACGTCCTGATCGCCGCGCAACGCCGCCGCGTGCATTGCAACTCCGATCTCTGCTCCGGCCTTCACTAGCTTCTGTACGAGACCTGCCTTCCCTTTGTCAGCGGCGTTCACCACAGCAGCGCTGAGCCAGGCCGCCCATTGCTCGGGTGTGCAGGTCTCTGCCATGAAGTCGAATATCTGCTTCTCTGCCCCCTGAAGGGCGCGGCGGGAGATCGTGATCGCCATTCTTGGAAGTCTCTACCGGCGAGGTTTACGTTGTCCCGCGGTCGGCCGCGATGGGGTCGGGGTGACAGGTTGTAGAGGAGCCTGAAATGCACAACACAGCACACGCAATGCGCCTCAGACACAGTGATTGTTTAAGCTAACGAGTGTCATAATTCGGTCCTGGTCGCCTGCTATTTTCTCGAGCAAAGGTGCTGCACCCCATGGCATACGTTCAAGTGCATATTGGTCCAATGTGGCTAACGAAAAACAGGCACATGCAACCTCGGAGGCTGTTGGGCGAGGAGTATGCATACCGTGCTTTGGCCAAAAGCAACTCTCGCTCCACTAGCGAACTCTGCAAACATCGGCGAGCATCAACACATTCATCTTCCTTCTCAGAGTGGACCAGATCACTCTTTGTATGCGAAACATCGACACTTCCTGCTGGCGATCTATCGCACTGGCTGTTGTGATTCACATGACAGTCAACGAGGGGAGGAACCCGTCTCGCGATTTAAACTAAGGCAAGAACTGCGGTGGGGAGGGAGGGAAAGAAACCAACAAAACATGATGAATTGCCGTGGAACGGCGAAGCCGCCGCCATTTGTCCCTTCATCCCAGGAGGAAAAAAGAAAAAAAAAGGCTCGAAATATCGGCCTGTTCCAAAGCGATGAAGGGGGTCTCGTTTGATTTCCGCGAGAATTCCGCGAAGCCTAGAAGACCGATAGAGCGCCGATTGACGACCTGTTGGCTTCCGAAGAGGAAGAAAATAGGGCACACTTCGTCACACCGGTTTGGTGGTACTCTGACAAGATGTGGCCGTGCTACACCAGCATTTGTCCCGGCAATCCGTAGGAGATACCTCACAATTAACCCCGGGAGTTGAAAGGATGAACACAGAAGCGGAAAACTCGCACACGCTATTTCAACAAACGGAGAAACAGAGGTAACACTGATAAGTTGCGCACATCCACAGAAACACACCCGTCCTACGAGGACCAATCCCTTCCGTACATGGGAAAGCACAGCAGTAACAGCAGACCTGGTGCCCGCTCTGGTGCCCGCTCTCTGGCTTACACAACAAGCAGTCTTGCCGTTGGGAAATCTCACAATGATGGTCGACGGTACGATTGCTGGGAGTCTTTGGGAGAGCAGCAGCTGCAACAGAGCGAAGTCGGGGCGTTGGTGCTGTTGAAGGAGTCGCCAAACGAGACTCAGAACGATAGATATGATGTCTTCGTCGGACAGCAATAGGTGTAAATAAATAACGCCGCCTCCAGCAACCGAAACATTGGAGGACACGAGTCAGTTGACTAGAAAAATTCCACCACAAAAAAGGGTGAGGGCGTGCTCTATTTGAACCGTGCTCCTGCTACTTTCCACACCACGCTGCCCCATGGGCTCTATCATGTACTTTCGTGTCCGCCACCGTCGTTAATTTATGCCGGCGGCAGTGCTGTTAGGTGCCGATGGTCTGGCGGTGCTGCTGTAGCAGGGGCGAGTGTGTAACGGTGTGTGTGTTTGCTCCTCCGCCTCTGGTGTAGCACTTGACCCAGAGGGGAGCGGATGCACAACCTTGAACACCTGCTTGGATATTCCAGATACGTATGCATGAACTGCGGAAGTCTCCGAGCGCGTGTGGTGGCCTGGAAGCAGCGCGTCTCGCACAGCATCGCCGGTGGACTGCAGGCATTGACTCGCACCCCATGGCTCTTTACCCCGCCCTACTGGTACAAAACCTCCTGGGTGACCGTCCTCTTGTGTGTCTCCGGCTCACACATCAAACACGTACTCAAAAAAGTGTTGACGCTGGCGCCAGAATAGATGGGACAAGCACGCACATACACACATCGACACCGCTTTGCGGAAGGAGAAAATTTTTGATTGAGACTCCCCTCTACTTTCGATGGCAACTCGATGCGTATGCGAAGAGCACGAGATCGTGACCCAACTGGGCTTATCCGGGTCTTAATTGGGGGGAGGGCCATCTACACCACAGGGTATCCTGGTCAAAAAACGATTCAGCCGGGTACACACTTACTTGGCTGAGTCAAAGGAGCCATGCGGATTGGCCAACGTCCATTTTTACCTTGCCGTGTCCAAAACTGCCCGATGTACACCAGCCACAGCTACGTTTCTCCCGAAATGTACGCCGGTTTCGGAAACGTGCCCTGATTTGACGGGAAGTAAACCCCTTCCATCGGCCATTTCCTCCGCAGGAATGCACCTTCTGCTCCTACCGTAGGGCACCAACCATGAACTCTTCCCCATCGAAACAAACAATCAGCGGTACACAGCACGATCAGGACAGCAGCCGATAAATATGTACAGATGCGGATAACGCAAGCTACGAGTTACGCTCAGGATGCGACCGACCCAGCACGGGTATATGGAATATATGGTTGTAACGTCGGCTTTTAAGAATGTATGCACCGGTGTGTGGCAGCGAGCCCGTAGTGGCGGAGAGGCGAAATGACACACACATACATTCTCATTGGTCACGACCTTAAAGGATGCATGCGCCGGTGTGTGGCAGCGAGCCCGTAGTGGCGGAGAGGCGAAAGGACACAACATACATTTTCATTGGTCAGCTGGTTAGCGCGGTCGATGCTAACAAGAAATACACACACCCGAGCGATTCGTCACGGATGGGGTGAGCGTACTACCCCCTACAAAAACAGAGACTGAACGCGCTGCAACACACGGAATTGGGCTGGAGGACCGGAGGCTAAATGAGCTGCCTTCTGCACCCTGACGATAGGACTTGCGGGCAGTGCTAAAAGCAGGGCCGACATCGATGGCTACTGGCGTAGGATGACTAGCCGGGCCAATTGTGCGCTACTGGCTCCTTCCATGATGATTCGCTCGGCGTGTGTTTGTGTCCTCCCGCGTTTCTGCAACCATGAGCTCGCCGCCACACATCCACACATACATTTCTTTGAAACCCCACTGCTCTCAACTACGCTGGATCGGTCGCATTCTGAGCGTGACTCGTATCGTGCATACACCGCAACATGCAGCTTTCCTTGCCCAACGGAATTATGTTATGTGTCATGCACTGTGTTTGTTGCGAGCAGGAAGAGTTCCTGTGGTGGGTAGTATGGCAGGTGCCGAAATAGACGCAGAGGAGGATTTCGCCTGAAAGGGGTTCCATTTCCCGTCAGATCAGGGTGTGTTTCCGAAACTCGGGAATAATTCTGGAGAAAAGAAGCTATGGCAGAGGTATTACCCGGGTTATACAGGGCTAATGTGAACGTTGACCAACAAGCAAGGCTCTTTTGACGCTGTCAAACTATGTGTACCCATGGCTGGGTCGCTTTTTGACCAGCGTGCAAGTCCAATATACGCCCTGTTGTGTCGATTGTTGCCGCTGAAACCATCCATGGTCATGATCATGTGCATGTCCATGAGTTTTGACAGGGTTTGGCAATACTTTTGAAAAGGTTCTTTGCGGAATGCATGTCGATCTATCGTACATGACCCCTCACGGCAGTGCCCCCGAACGCGAACAACTGAATTTCATCAACTTTAGGCACGGGGGCTCCGCGACGCGAAATGCGGAGCATTAACGCTCTTCGCGGTCATTGCCGACTACGCGGCCACCAACGGCTTCTTCTGCGCTATCAACGGGATCCAAGCACCGAATCCACAATATTACAGGCACTAGGCTAAGCGTTGCGGTGTGTACTGCCGCAGAGAACTGGGTCGGTTGAGGTTGATTTCCACAGCGCGACAGCGGCGTGAAGACAGGCGCCGCAGACCTGCTGCTGTGAACGCAGCTTCGAGTTTGGGGGGGTTGGCGCGAATTGGGTCGATTGCAGCTAGCTGGAGGAAGAGAGCGAGACCAGAAACGGCGCGACCACAAAGCACCACCTCACCTATCTGTATTTCCAGTACGTTCCAAGCGTCCGACCGTGTGTGGGGTTATATCGTATCACTGCTTCTGAAAATCTCAAATCTGCTCAATTTCTCAATTTCTCTACAATAATAGGGGGTCCGCAGATTCGTACAAGGGGTACGCCCATATATTCAAAATGCAGAAACATGAACACCCCTTTCCAGATTGTGGCGTATTACGACCTGTTCCACGCCAATTAGTACAAATAGGTAGGTATCATCACGTTTGAGGTGTTGGTCGTAGTCAATATGACTAATATTCCACCCGCCTGGCGGGAAATCAATCGCGTGCGACGTGCCCGTGAATGATGTACAATTGTCCATTTCTCTGGAACTACGAACTTTGAACAATCTAGTCTATACCATTTCATCGTTTCGTTCTGTCACGGCTGGCTGTTGTTCTGCTCCTCAACATCTCCCATTACAGGGCGGAGCGATCCCCAACATGTGAATGCCGGAAAACAACTCCATGCCCGTCCAAGCTATTCAGGAGTCCCTTTGAGGAACAACACTTGTTCTGTGAAGTAAAGAGAGTCAGCTACGGGATATCCATACGGGCCCGTTGGTGCTTGTTCTGTGATATAAAGGAAGTCATTTTCCTCCTCCTCCTCCTCCTCCTCCTCCTCATCCTCCTCCTTCACGAGGCTTTTGTAGCTCTCCCGGGACCCCTTTCACGTTCCAAGTGGGAATTCGATCTAGGGTCGATACAGAACGGGCCCGGAGTCAAGCTAAAAGAAAACTACAGTAGGCTCAAGCTTTCACCAGAAACACGACATCATGGTCCCAGGGAAAAGAACCAGCGCTCAATCTGGCCACAACAGATGGAACCTTTTTCAGAAAGAAACAGGACTCCTCCGCCCGTGCTGCGCTACCCACCCCCTACCTAAGTCGCTCACCTTTGAGGTCGTATGGCAAAGGTGAACCCACGGCCTCGAAGCTTGGTATGTTTAATTCTTACCGGAACAAGAAAACCAGAAGGATGAGATAGCCCAACGCTTCAACGGCATACATACATCGCTCCCATCTTCTTTTTTTACATTGCAAGCACCACCGGGCGCCGACCTAGGTAGGGAGCCTTCCAAACACACAGCATCGCTCGGTGTTCCTTGACAAACGTATCGAGTCCGACAAAATCCGGGCCATCGCATGCCCCACGCACACGACACGTGGACTCGAAGCACGGACGCATGGACAAAAAAGCACGGGAAGTCCTTGTCACGCCTCCCGATGGGACTTCAAAAAGTTCGACACGGACGACGACATTCGCTCGTCCACGGGAGGCCCGTCCTCGCTCGGGAACACGAAATCCTGAAGGAAAGGAAAAAACAAAATCGGGACAGGGGGGGGGGAGATGATGAGATATAGCGTTGCAACGCACTTCCCTTTCTTCCAATATACGTAGTCGGAAACACAGTTTCCTTACAAGTAGTCGGAAACACACCATGAAGGTTTCGGTGTTGGGGAGAGGGAGGGAGGATGTGTGTTGTGTTTTCGACCGGGAGCAAGAATTGCCTGATATTATCAAGAGATACCATTGAACGGGGGAGGAGGGGGGGTGACTTGGGGGCGATACCTCGCACAACAAGATGTCTCAATACTGCGTAAAGCTCGGACAAAACAACGAGCGACTGAGGGTATATCTCGAACGGGTAGTCTTTCTGTGACGTTGTGTTTACTTTCTAAAAACAACGAGCGACGACGACCGCAACGGCAACGACAACGAAAACGAAAACGGTCACTTTCGACAACAACAACAACGAACACACACCTGCCCCGTGATGATTTCGTAGAGCATGACGTACCGCCGCGACAGCTCTGCCACCAACTCCCTGGGAGCATCAGGAACAGTCTCATCCTTGTAAGGGTCGCAGTGCTGCGTAACATTTGTTTCAAGACACGATCACGAATCGTTAAGGTCTTCCCACGGGCGAGGGAAATATGTTCATTTCAACGAAGCAGCGGCCCCAAGCGGAAACTGCGGTAGTGGCCGAAGGTGGGGCAGGAGTGCATTGGTGTCCGTGTTCCCCGCTCTTAACATACCTCGAGACATGTGTGTCGGTATTGGCACTACCGCAGGTTGCACAATATACCCAACCTCCTGGACCGATTTTCAAAGCCCAACTACTCCACGCCAAAGCGGGTGCCACAACCAAATTTGTTGCGTTTCGGAAAGCTGCTCTCGACGGAAACGATTTCCAGCGCCGCCGCTTTCGACGCCGTCATCGTTTATGCGGCACCACAATCGAACTTCGGAAACAGGTCCAGAGGTTGTCGTACATATCTCATGCGACCTGCAGTACGCGTCCGCCAAGCCAGGCCTTCTCTGGCACTGGCAGGGCGCTTCTCTCTTGGAACCTTTCTCTTGCTCAGAACTCCATACAGTAGAGGTCCATGAATACGGCCGCTCTAGGTCTAAGGGAAAACGCCGGCCTCTAATATCGGGCACCCGGCATTATTCATTTAGAGTATGCATATGAGATAACTTCAACATCCCATCTGTGCCAAGCGATTTCACCGGCCTTGAACAGGGCAACCGGCCAACAATAACCGGCCGTAAACGGGGACCGCTGCTGCTGTATCCTTTCTATGTTGCGGCTCTCTTTATCGCCTCTGGCCGCGAAATTTTCTTTGTGTCTCACCTGCGTGTACCAACGTCGGAGAAACTCCTTGTCGATGTTCTCCGGTTCTCTGCCCTGCGAGATGTTCCCCTCGTACGTCTCCTGCGAGCGACACACATAAGGATAAGGATTCCCCAAAACAAATGTGTCAAGGACGGGCCGGAGATATCGTGCATTGCATCTGCGAGGCGAGAGGGTAGAGGGTGGCGGCGCCAACAGATGCCCCCCTTCTGGATGCTCGCTTCGGAAAAATACGCCCGTGGCAAACGGTGTGCTTGCGGTGTTTGTCGTCGTCAGCGTGTTGTTCGCGCCCCGCTCCAGTCCATTGCCAATCAATCGAATATCCAGAGATGATAGAGGAGCCGAGCGCTCGTGGACAAGGGAGGCAAGGTCGTACAGAGGGCGGCAGCGATGAGTTTATGGTGTTGGGAAAAGAGGAGGTGGCTCGTTGTTTTCGGGCAAGAGAGATGAATGGGGGGGAACGATTGATACCCTGCAGGTGGTCTATCGAGGTGAGGGGAAAAGGAGAGAAGTAGAAACATCGGAGTCATCTCAAAAGACTCTTCCAATTCCGGACCACAACCATCACCACCGTGAACCCGGACAAAAACAATGTATACAAAAACCATGAATTGGTATTTTGGTTCGGTCTGGTTCGGTGGGTGCTCGAGTTAAAAAAACACATCAGTTGCGTGGGTTTATTCGACCTTCGTAGACGCCACGTTTGGCGGTCAGCTTTTCAAGTTCTCTTGTTAATCTTTAATCACGCCTTTGATACACTACCGTGCTCTCATGAGTCCACTCCGCAGTATCGACAGCTGCAACCACACCGCACCTTCACCCAGTATCGGCTGGAGTCCGGGGTGTGTATCTCATCAACCAGAATGATGTTCCCGTCGGCATCCTTGCCCAGCTCATACTTGGTGTCCACGAGAATCAAGCCCCGTTCTGCTGCCGCCTGCTCGAACAAGTGCCATCCCACCCAGAGCCCCACAGTAAAGCCGGTCATCATCACGTTTCTAAAGCGATTGACAACAGATTCGACAAGGCTTCCTGTATCAAGATGTAATGATGTTCTGGGGGCGAGATCGAAAACCGTGAAAACTAAGAAAATGACCCCTGTTCCATTCATTTCCCTAGAGGCTTCCAACATGAATCGATTGGCGAATATTTTCCTCACTCCCTCATCAATCTTGATGTAGTCAAGCCGTGCCCACGGAGGGCGTTCGCTTCAGTGATACAAGCAAGGCTGTTCAAACGTCACCACAGCCGAGCAGAGAATGAAACGATCATCGTATGACGACAGCCGCAACAACAAGCACAACAAAAGTGCTGTTCGTGATACCACCGAAACGGCCGCATTCCAACCACCGCAGCGAGTCTACAGCAGCAGTCTGTCTAGACTGCACACGCTGCGACGTGTACCTGCGAAAAGGGTATTGTGAGAGCACGGGATAGCGTAGGGGGTCCTGCCCGGAAGACTGTTGTTGATGGTCTAGCCACGTCTTCCAACGCGAGGTCCGACATACACACCTGTAGGCGTCCGTTTTCCTCTCCTGGTAACGTTCACTGCTGTATGGGGTTCAGCCCCGGCTTCTTTGATTCCATCTCGGGGAAACAGATTCTGTACTTCAACACTGAACACCATAACGAGCACTGCTACGTTGTCGATCACAAAAAAGAGTGCGGCGTAACTAACCTCTTGCCCGAACCGAAACAGGGCGTGGGCCAGCCGGCTGCACTCATCCCAGTCTTGCTGCGACATCCGGTTCGAGGAAACAATTTCCTGCGCGCTAATCAGCTCGTCGTGCAAGTCGTCCTGAAAGGTTGGGCGAAAACCAACAAAGAACGCCAACAATATATAATTGCAATTTTCTGTGGTTTCTCCATGGCGCTTTTTGTCCAATTTTTCCAAATTTCCAGATTTCCAAATTTGGAACGAACGGTGCCTGTAGTTTCCAAATTTTCCAAATTTCCAGTTTTTTCCCTCGGCCCCAAATCGGGGTTCAACGGTCTACGGATTTGGAACTTAGAAAATATTGGAAGCGAAACAGCTGGAAAAAAAGGCCTTTCGGCCAGGAAATAATAAACCAGGAGGTGATTGCTCAACCACGTACAGAGCCCTACCGACATGCCAGACAACCAGCCAGGCGCCAGCTAAAACAACCTGCACCTGAAGGGCAAGTCGAGCAACGACCACGCCTTGCCTGGCTTCAAGAACCTCTACATGGCGCTTGACAACAAAAAAGGGCCGTAACAGAACACGATTTTTTCTCGCTGGGTGCAAAAACATCCAAACTCGCATGGAATAATGAGCGTGCTGCATCGCTACAGCTACGGTCCGTCCGCACATACGCATAAAAACCTTTAGTATTGGCCGAGTCTGGGGATCTTGGTTGCTAGGGTTACGTTACGAACATCCGCTGTTTCTTTAGGTCTCTGTGCAAGGGGTTCTTCAACCGGGGTCACAAATGGTGCGCACGTTCTGATGTGTATACGAAATGTTTAGCACGAAGTTCATGATTGGCACGGTCTTTCAGTGCGGGCGCGAACTCTGTACGCTGTCTTCTATTGTGGGCAAAAAACTGGTTTTTCCACGGTAAAAATACGTCTGAACTACTGCTGTAGCAACCTTGGCCCGACGATATCGGGAACAAACGAATAGGGCTACCGCGGGATCGTTCCAACCAACAGGTGATAGCCATTTATCCTGAGTCATAGCGGGCACAACAGCACTGTCAACCTTGTGAAGAGGACGATAGTTGCCCTTGGAATTTCCGAGGGAGAGGATTTAGGGTGTTCCCCCACAACGAGCGTGTACCTTGGTCGTAGGCGTCAGGATGTTGCCCATGGGCAGCGCCTGGTTCTTGGACATCCCCTCCGGGAGGGTGTGTCCGCAGTACGCCCTGGTTCCCTTCTCGTAGTTCTTCCATATGGAGGTGGAAGTGGAGCCCGTGAGGTAGCCGCGCATCACGAACTCGATCGGGAAAACCTGGCAAGACATCCGGACATGCAATGTCAACAACAGCAGCAGCAGTAGCGGCACAAGGAGCAGTAGCAGGGTACGAAGAAAAATAACAGCACGACAACAGCAGAAGTAGCAGCGGCAGCAGCAGCAGCAACAACAACAACAGAGTACGTAGAAAACAACATTAAATTAGAAACAACAACAACAACAACAGCAGCAATAACAACAACGGCGACCACCACCACGCCTACAGCCGCAGCAGCAACGACAGATATAGAAACAAAACAACAACAACAACAACAACAACGACGACGACGACGCCGGCTGCGACCGGCGAGATGGAACGAAATGAGCACCGAAACACCAACAGCGGCAAACAACAGCTTTATTTTTTCGCATCTACACAAACAGGCCCACATTTCCACTGCTGCTGTGGTTGGCACCAACAAAGCCGTTCCCACTGCTGTGTTGTGCATTCAGCCAGCAGTCCACCTCACCTTGCACTTCTTTCCGACGCAGACATTGGGGTGCGGCGATCCAAGCAGGTGGTTGGGAGCAATATGTCGAGTTTTCTCGAACCACCATGCGCTCGTCTGTAGAATGCGTTCGGCAGGGAGTGGGGGCGGGGTATCGGAGTGTTGGGGGCGTCTGTTCACGTGAGAGTATTGCAGTACAGTACCGTGGGGTTGAAAAACTGAGGCAAATAAAAAAAAAGCAGAAAGAAAAAAAAACTGTCGAAAAAATAATATTACCGCGGCGCGTCCACCTCCAGAGGTACCCTTCCTATGCATACACAACTTGAACCAACCAACACATGTGGCATATAAATATGAGAGCTGTGATGATCTATCTCCCCACGAAAAAAAAAAAGAGGAAAAAAAGTTTCGATACACCTCTCGATTCGTGCGTGTCATCCTTGCTCCAGGGGCCATGCTAATCTTCTCTGTATCGTTCCAATTTTTACGGATGATGACTTTCGTCATTCCGTTCGCTGCCGCAATTGTTTTTCATGTCAACGATGTTTTTCTTCCTCTGCGACTGCTGGGCATGGAGGTGGTACACCCATGAGCATATCGATCGACCACAAGCTATCCACATGGAAAAATGATACCACGGTGATGAAGAAGGTGGTTTGGAACAATATGTCGAGTATTCTCGAACCACCATGCGCTCGTCTATAGCATGCGTTCGGCCGAGAGGGGGGGGGGGGGGGGGGGATGTACTCATAATTTAGTCGTGCATGCGCGTACGTACGTTAGACCATTGACCTCGCATCCCTACAAAGCCGGGACGGACCACGCCGGGTTCTCACCGGACCAGGCTCTCACATCACCAAGCGCGAAGCGCCGTGAGGTATTCGGCGAGTCGCATGAAGGGTGAGCTGCATCGCGCTAAGGGTGTTCGGCATCTTGTGCTTACTTCCTTGCGTACGCATGACAGCTGCTTGTGACTTAATTTATTTTCTGGTGCTTTGAATTCCAGAGACAGTTGTAAGCACTGTGTAACTGCCTCGAGGGTGTCTGACCAATTTAACACAACGTGGTGCGATCATCCCCCTTGCGCGGAGTGAGGTTTCTCCACCCCGCACAACTTGATCTACTCGACGACCATTATGGTTACCGCCAAAAAAAAATAACCAGAGGTAAAAAAAAAAAACGGTAACCTGGTTGCCGAGTTCACGAAGTGAATTGGCTTGTTTTACAACGTCGTTGCCAAGCGACGAAAACCCAATCCCGATGGCAAACACCGGGGGGGGCGGCTTGTTTTACAACGTCGTTGCCAAGCGACGAAAACCCAACCCCGATGGCAAACACGGGGGGGGGGGGGTAGGGGTACTCATAGTCGTGCATGCCGTAGTCATTATGCCATTGGCCTCGCATCCTTACAAAGCCGGGACGGAGCACGCCGGGTTCTCGCCGGACCAGGCTCTCACATCACCAAGGGCGAAGCGCCGTGAGGTATTCGGTTAGCCGCATGGAGGGTGCGATGCATCGCGCTGAGGGTGTTCGGCATATTTTGCTTACTTGCTTGCGTACGGATGACAGCTGCGTATGACTTAATTTATTTTCTGGTGCTTTCACTTCCAGAGACAGTTG